TGAATCTAGAGATAAGCAAAGCTTTAATCACTTGCAGATGTACTGATACAGATCCTGGTACATATTGGGTTGTATTATTTCAGTGGAAATGGCAACCCCATGAGCTCATTCCTTTGTATGCCAGAACTCCCCTTGGGTTGAAGGAATTGTGGAGTCCAATGAACACCTGCAAGTGTGTTCATTGCTGAATCAAATCAACAGTGAATCCTGTGCTAAAGAATCAGGGGGTGGTACCTTAAGGCAGAGTGAAGCAGCTATCATAGGTCTCAGATGCTGGAGGCATAAACATTCCTCCTGATTCCCTCCAGCTGTCCAGTTGTCCTGAGCCATCACTTCAATGATGGTGAAGCTTGCTTGCTGCTAGATGACTCATCTATTTGACTTCTCCAAACATGATGCAGTTGGCCCCATTAGGAAAGGTCCTTGACCTTCAAGGAGCAAAAAGGGTTTTCTTGTGTGTGTGTGTTTCTTTGTGGCTGATTGGCTGCTCTCCCTGTGCAAAGGTCAGAGGGGGCAGGGTTTCTGTTGAGGCAGGTGATTAGCTGTGGGAGGAGCTTATCAGAGATTGCAGGGCAGCAGTTGAAGAAGGAGCAAAAAGGGTTTTCTTGTGTGTGTGTGTTTCTTTGTGGCTGATTGGCTGCTCTCCCTGTGCAAAGGTCAGAGGGGGCAGGGTTTCTGTTGAGGCAGGTGATTAGCTGTGGGAGGAGCTTATCAGAGATTGCAGGGCAGCGGCGGGCGCTGGCGGCGCACGCAGTTTGATCCATCTTTTAGATTTAGGGAGCTAGTCTCAAACGTTTGTTGGGGAAGACCTAGGTTTTTTGTGGGGGAGTTATTTTTCCTGTCTTCACGCTTTTATGATGGAGGACCACTGTAGCCACCCCCAACGACACGTTCTCAAGATGGAGGGGAGGGAACAGCTGCAGTCGCCTGCGGTTCCTGCGCAATGCTTGCCATCTTGCCAAAGGTTGCAGGCAGCTTTACCTGCAGCAATTGCATGTTGATTGCCCTCTTAAAAGACAAAGTCCAGCAACTGGAGGAACGTGTAGCTACGCTCCAAAGAATTAGAGAGCTGGAGCTCTTCTTGGAAGCAACAGAGCACACCGTCTCCACCAAGGAGGAGACAGGGGACTCCCCTGAGAAGGACGCTAGTTCACCAACACAGGAGCCAGATATATGGAGAAACGTGACTCAAAGAAGTAGGAGGCCCAGGGTTCGCTCTGATTGTTTAGAAATACACAATCGCTTTGAGGTCCTCTCCCCTAGCATGGAAGACGAAGAGCAGACTCCATTTGAGGATCTCTGCCTCATTACAGTCGATCAGGTATATGAAGACGAGCAGCATAGTCAGTCCTCAGGGAATGTGCAGGCGACCTTGGAGCGGACAGCTCACGGAAGAACCCCGGCCAAACCTAAGAGGAGGCGTGTAGTGGTGATAGGGGATTCCCTACTGAGGGGAACAGAAGCAGTGATCTGTGGGCCTGACAAGATGTCTCGGGAAGTGTGCTGTCTCCCGGGGCTAAGATCCAAGATGTAACTGAACGACTGCAAGGAATCATAAAACCCACTGACAAATACCCTTTCCTCTTGGTTCATGTGGGAACCAATGACACTGCAAGCAATAGCCTCCAGAAGATCAAAAGAGACTACGAGGCTCTGGGCAGGAAATTGAAGCAATTAAATGCACAAATTGTGATCTCATCTGTCCTCCCAGTTGAACGACGTGGCCCAGGGAGAGAGGGGAAAATAGTGGAAGTGAACAGCTGGCTTCGCAAATGGTGTAAACAGGAACGGTTTGGATTCTTAGATCACGGACTGCAGTTTCTTGAAGATGGACTTCTGGCAAGCGATGGGCTGCACCTCACAACGGTTGGGAGAAATGTTTTTGCCAAAATCTCAGAAACCTCATCAGGAGGGCTTTAAACTGACTAATGTGGGGAGGGAGATAGTGCTCCTGAAGGTAGGAGTCTATCAATTGATGAAGATGATCATCCAAATGTCATAGACCAAATGGAGCAAACAGCACACAGACCTAGTGGTGGGAGGAAAAAATCCTTAAATAAGAGTCACGGGGAAATGATTAATGGACTTCAATGTCTGTACACTAATGCGCAAAGCATGGGAAATAAACAAGATGAGCTTGAGCTCTTGGTACAGCAAACTAAATATGACATAATAGGCATCACTGAAACCTGGTGGGATAAGTCCCACGATTGGAATGTAATAATGGGGGATACAATCTATTTCAGAGAAACAGACCAGACAAGAAAGGAGGAGGAGTGGCGTTATATGTCAGGGATGTGTATACCTGTGAAGAGATCCAAGATTTAGAACCTCAAAGCCAAAGTGAGAGCATTTGGGTCAAAATTAAGGGAGAGAAGAATAACAATGACCTCATTGTGGGAGTTTACTATAGATCCCCAAGCCAAACGGAGGACATAGATGATGCCTTCCTGGAACAGATGGCCAAGCATGCAAAAGGAAGGGAGATAGTAGTAATGGGGGACTTCAATTACCCGGATATTTGTTGGATGTCAAACTCAGCCAAGAGCATAAGGTCAAACAGATTCCTCACTGGCCTTGCAGACAACTTCATTGTCCAGAAAGTGGGAGAAGCAACAAGAGGAACAGCCATTTTAGATCTGGTCCTAACCAATGTTGATGACCTGGTTAGTGGGGTAGAAGTGGAAGGATCATTAGGCGCGAGTGATCATGCTCTTCTGAAGTTTACTATACAGCGGAAAGGAGCAGCCAAGCATACTAGGACTCAATTTCTTGACTTTAAGAAAGCTGACTTCATAAAACTTAGGGAAGTGCTGGGTGAGATCCCATGGACAGTAATACTAAAAGGAAAGGGAGTTCATGATGGCTGGGAGTTTGTTAAGAGGGAGATACTAAAAGCACAACGTCAGGCAATACCAATGAGACGGAAACATGGAAGGTGCCTAAAGAAGCCAGGGTGGCTATCTAAAGAACTTTTAACTGAGTTAAGATTAAAAAGGATGTGTACAAAAATGGAAAAGGGGGGAAACCACCAAAGAGGAATTCAAACAAATAGCCAGCACATGTAGATACAAAGTCAGAAAAGCTAAAGCACAGAATGAACTCAGGCTTGCTAGAGAGGTTAAAAGCAACAAAAAAAGGCTTTTATGGGTATGTCCGTAGCAAAAGGAAGAACAAAGAAACAGTGGGGTCACTCAGAGGAGAAGATGGTGAAATGCAAACAGGGGACACAGAAAGAGCTGAACTCCTCAATGCCTTCTTTGCCTCAGTCTTCTCCGATAAAGAAAACAATGCCCGACCTGAAGAATTTGGAGCAAATGATTCAGCAAAGGAAACACAGCCCAGAATAACTAAGGAGATAGTACAAGAATACTTGGCTAGTTGAGATGTATTCAAGTCTCCAGGGCCAGATGAACTGCATCCAAGAGTATTAAAAGAACTGGCAGATGTGATCTCAGAACCACTGGCAGTCATCTTTGAGAATTCCTGGAGAACAGGCGAAGTCCCGGCAGACTGGAGGAGGGCAAATGTTGTCCCTATTTTCAAAAAGGGGAAAAGAGAGGACCCAAATAATTACCGCCCAGTCAGTCTGACATCAATACCAGGGAAGATTCTGGAGCAGATCATTAAGCAAACAGTCTGTGAGCACCTAGAAAGGAATGCTGTGATCACCAATAGTCAGCATGGATTTCTGAAAAATAAGTCATGTCAGACTAACCTGATCTCATTTTTGACAGAATTACAAGCCTGGTAGATGAAGGGAACGCAGTGGATGTAGCCTACCTTGATTTCAGCAAGGCATTTGACAAGGTGCCTCATGATATTCTTGTAAAGAAGCTGGTAAAATGTGGTCTTGACTATGCTACCACTCAGTGGATTTGTAACTGGCTGACTGGACCGAACCCAAAGGGTGCTCATCAATGGTTCCTCTTCATCCTGGAGAAGAGTGACTAGTGGGGTGCCACAGGGTTCTGTCTTGGGCCCGGTCTTATTCAACATCTTTATCAACGACTTGGATGATGGACTCAAGGGCATCCTGATCAAATTTGCAGATGACACCAAATTGGGAGGGGTGGCTAACACCCCAGAGGACAGGATCACACTTCAAAACGACCTTGACAGATTAGAGAACTGGGCCAAAACAAACAAGATGAATTTTAACAGGGAGAAATGTAAAGTATTGCACTTGGGCAAAAAAATGAGAGGCACAAATACAAGATGGGGGACACCTGGCTTGAGAGCAGTACATGTGAAAGGGATCTAGGAGTCTTGGTTGACCACAAACTTGACATGAGCCAACAGTGTGACGCGGCAGCTAAAAAGCCAATGCAATTCTGGGCTGCATCAATAGGAGTATAGCATCTAGATCAAGGGAAGTAATAGTGCCACTGTATTCTGCTCTGGTCAGACCTCACCTGGAGTACTGTGTCCAGTTCTGGGCACCACAGTTCAAGAAGGACATTGACAAACTGGAACGTGTCCAGAGGAGGGCAACCAAAATGGTCAAAGGCCTGGAAACGATGCCTTATGAGGAACGGCTAAGAGAGCTGGGCATGTTTAGCCTGGAGAAGAGGAGGTTAAGGGGTGATATGATAGCCATGTTCAAATATATAAAAGGATGTCACATAGAGGAGGGAGAAAGGTTGTTTTCTGCTGCTCCAGAGAAGCGGACACGGAGCAATGGATCCAAACTACAAGAAAGAAGATTCCACCTAAACATTAGGAAGAACTTCCTGACAGTAAGAGCTGTTCGACAGTGGAATTTGCTGCCTAGGAGTGTGGTGGAGTCTCCTTCTTTGGAGGTCTTTAAGCAGAGGCTTGACAACCATATGTCAGGAGTGCTCTGATGGTGTTTCCTGCTTGGCAGGGGGTTGGACTCGAGGGCCCTTGTAGTCTCTTCCAACTCTATGATTCTATGATTCTATGATTCTATGATTCTATGATTGACTGTCAGTAGCATTCCCTTCCCAATGTTGTGCTATCTTTGGTCCCCGGGGAAGCTGTCGCCTGGTCACACAAAGCATGTGCTCTACCATTGAGCTAAATTTATTTCCCAATGATATAGTAGGATTTATCATTGGGAAATAAATTTAGCTCAATGGTAGAGCACATGCTTTGTGTGACCAGGCGACAGCCCCAGCCCCCAGGGATCACAAGAAAGGAGTAAAGACTCTGACACATATTATGGAATTAAAACTAGGCTACAACTTTCTTTAAACTTCTGAATGTAGGAAGACCTTGGCTTAGGCCTTGGGTGTGTATCCTTCCCAGTCCCCAGCCGGGGAACTGGGGCTCATCAGAGTAAATGGGATATGGGGTGCTCTGCAAGACATAAGTGTAGCAGGCAGCCCAGCCCATATCCTCGCATGCAGGGTAGTTCATTGACGACCTTTCAGTGTATGGCCAGTGACACCCATATATATAACCCCTTTAAGAGGGGACCCTGGAATCACTGCTGCAGGGTGGTGAGTCACCACTTCACCCCCCCCCCCAATATAGGGAAGAAAAGACTAAAGGATTCCACTCAAGGCCATAACCACCAAAGTTGTGACGAACTCCTACGGGGAAGACAAAACCTGCCAATGCAGGAAAATTTCTTCCCGGTCCTTCAACAGCAACCAGTCAAAGACCGTAGCAGCACCCGCTAAACAGGAAGAAAAAGTTAACCTGCAAACAAGAAACATTAAGCAAAGGGAAGGGAGGGAGGGTGAATCTCCCGAGCCGACTGCCTGGCTTTTATCTGTTCCACCCCCTATTTAAATTAGGACTGGCCCCCATTCAGAATATGCAATTAGGTAAATCTCCAGGACCGGATGGACTGACTTCTAGATACTATAGAACTTTGAAAGAATGGTTAATACAACCATTAAAGGAAGTCTGCAATGAAATATTGGAAGGGAAAAGGGCACCTGAATCGTGGAAAGAAGCATATATTACAATTATACCAAAATCAGAGTCTGAAAAGACGCAACTCAAAAACTACCGTCCCATATCACTCCTTAATGTGGATTACAAAATTTTTGCAGATATTTTGGCCAAAAGACTAAAAAAGGTGTTAGCAGAAGAAATTCATAAAGACCAAGCGGGCTTTCTCCCGGGCAGGCATTTGTCTGATAATACGAGGAATTTAATTAACATTTTAGAAAAGCTACAAGTGAAGATTAATACTAAAGCAGTTTTGATTTTTGTGGATGCGGAGAAAGCCTTTGACAATATTTCCTGGAGATTTATGAGGAAGAATTTATTAGGGATGGGGGTTGGTAAAAGTTTTGGAAATGGTATAGGTGCAATTTATTCAGAACAAAGGGCTAAATTAATTGTGAATAGCATAGTGACGGAAGAATTTAGGATTGAGAAAGGAACACGACAAGGTTGCCCAATCTCTCCATTGCTTTTTATTTCGGTCCTGGAGGTTCTGCTAAATATGATTAGAAGGGACCAATTGGTTAAAGGTATACAAGTGGGATCTAAACAGTGCAAACTGAAAGCATTTGCAGATGATTTAGTACTGACTTTACAGGAGCCAGAATCAAGCACGAAAAGAGTATTAGAATTGATTCAAGAATTTGGTCAGGTAGCAGGTTTTAAGTTGAATAAGATGAAAACTAAAGTCCTGGAGAAAAATCTGAATGTGATTGAGAGAGAGAAGTTTCAGAGAGAGACAGGCTTGACACTGGTTAAGAAAGTGAAATACTTAGGGGTTAATATGACTGCTAAAAATGTGAATTTATATAAGGATAACTATGAAAAATGTTGGGCTGAAGTGAAAAAAGACTTAGAAATATGGTCAAATTTGAAGTTATCGCTGCTAGGCCGAATTGCTGTGATAAAAATGAATGTATTGCCAAGAATGTTATTTCTGTTCCAATCACTGCAAATCTTGGACAAAATGGATTGTTTCAAGAAGTGGCAGAGAGATGTTTCCAGATTTGTCTGGCAGGGCAAGAAGCCCCATATAAAATTTAAGATTTTAACTGATGCTAAAGAAAGAGGTGGATTTGCCCTGCCAGACTTAAAACTTTACTATGAATCAGCCGCTTTTTGCTGGCTGAGAGAATGGATGCTTCTTGAAAATACAGACGTATTGGATTTGGAAGGTTTCAATAATGTATTTGGTTGGCATGCATATTTGTGGTATGATAGGGTCGAAGCACAAAAAGTGTTCAAAAACCATATTGTAAGAAAAGCATTGTTTAATGTCTGGATAAGATATAAGGATTTGTTAGAAAATAAAACCCCAAGATGGCTGTCACCTATGGAGGCAAAGGCTCCGAAAAAACTCAATATGGAGGCCAAATGGCCGAAGTATTAGGAAATTTTGGAACAAGAGGGTGACAGATTAAAATTACAGAGCTTTGAAAAATTAAAAAACAGAGTGCGAGATTGGCTCCATTATTATCAAATAATGGAGGCATACAATCAGGACAAAAAATTAGGTTTCCAAGTGGAAAAATCAAAGTTGGAACAGAATTGTTAGACCCTAAAGTTAAGAATTTGTCAAGAATGTATAACTTACTATTGAAATGGAATACTCAGGATGAAATGGTGAAATCTGCTATGATTAAATGGGCACAGGATGTTGGACATAACATTATGATGGCTGACTGGGAACAGTTATGGACCACTGGTATGAAGTTTATGGCATGTAACGCCTTAAAGAGAATTTAATGAAAATGATTTACAGGTGGTACATAACACCAGTCAAGCTTGCAAAAATTTATCATTTGCCCGATAATAAATGTTGGAAATGCAATGAAACTGAAGGTACTTTCTTTCACCTTTGGTGGACATGCTTAAAGATTAAGGCATTCTGGGAGATGATCTATAATGAAATGAAAAAGGTCTTTAAATATACCTTCTTAAAGAAACCAGAGGCCTTTCTCCTGGGCATGGTGGGCCAGTTGGTGCCAAAGAAGGACAGAGTTTTTTTCATGTATGCTACAACAGCAGCAAGAATACTCATTGCAAAGCACTGGAAGACACAAGATCTACCTACCAGGGAAGAATGGCAGATGAAGCTGATGGATTACATGGAATTGGCGGAAATGACTGGCAGAATCCGAGACCAGGGAGAAGAGTCGGTGGAAGAAGATTGGAAAAAATTTAAAGTATATTTACAGAAATACTGTAAAATTAATGAATGCTAGAAAGATGCTGGAAAGAGGTGATATGACTTTAGTAGAAATATTATAAAGAATTAAGTATGAATAGATTGACATTGGATAAAGAGGTAAATTTAAGTCTAAAATTGTGTTAAGTTAAACTATGGAACTAAGTTTGTGAAAGAGGGAAAGGACTTGCTGGAATATTTAATTGAACTAGAATACAAAAAAGGCGGTGTGAGGAAGTCGAGGAAATGAAAGATAAGGATATGAAAATATGTGGTTCTTTTGTATGTTTGTCCTTTTTTGGGTTTTGCTTTTTTGTTAATGCTTTTGTTTTTTTTTTCTTTTTGTACTCTTGATGTTTTGTATTTTTGAATTTATTTTTGTTTTTGAGGTTTTGTAATTGTTTATTGCTCTTTTTTGTTTCTTTTGTTTTGCTTCTGTTTTTCTGTAATGTTTAAACATCAATAAATACTTTATATATATATATATATAAAATTAGGACTGGCCCCACCTCCCAGCAAGAAACTTGATTACTGAGGCTGGGTGTGAACCTCCAAATAATAACACTGAGAAGCAAGCCAGCCCCCTATTTCTAGTAAGTTGCCTGGGAACTGTAGCCCCGCGCGCAATCCCGCAAAGGGCACCCACATATAAAGTGTGAGTGCTTATTGCCTGCAAAAGGTCCCAGGTTCAATCCCAGGGGTAGGGAACAACTTCTTCCTGAAGCCTTGAGAAGCTACTATCCATGTCAACAGTATTGAGCTGGATGGCCTTAGAAAGCATGAGGCAGATTCTGATGACTGAGCAAGCAGCCAGAGAGGCATTCAAACCAGGACGTGTACTCAAATGGACATCATGTGCACACATGCATTCTGTTCATGTGATGCATGCTGGATGGTCAAGGTCTCTTTGTAGCATTTGTGTGAGTTGGCAGCGCGATAGGCAAAGCAATGTGTGAGCAGCAGTGAGGTGTAAGAATAGAATCACAGAATCGTAGAATTGTAGGGGTGGAAGAGACCCAGAATGTCATCTTGTCCAACCCTCTGCAACGCAGGAATCTGTGTGAGCCACAGGAATTGCCCTGTATACCCTAAGCTAGCCTGCTACTCACAATTTCTATGGAGCATGTTGCCCCATCACCAGTACCGAAATAAGATTCAGCTGCCAATATAGATGGCTTCTATATGTATCTTGTTCTTTGCCACTGGAAAGGAAAATGGGAAAGTACTCTGTCTTGCTATCATACTTAGTAGCTGTAATGTCCATGACATTGTCCATCCATATATATTGGGGCTGAGATTTTTATGAATGTAGATGGCTACCCCTAGTCATCAAACCCATGTAGGGATAGCTTACACAAAGTGTCATGAACTCCCCAATCCACCTTAATGTTGTCTGTTTTATGTAGTTCTGCCTATCTCCTCCCATAGCCATGAAATAATATTATTGCAGTGGTAAAACAGGAAAAGGAAGTAGCCCAAAGAAAGAAAAATCAATTTAATTTGAATCTGGTGTTACAATTTCTAGTATACTTCCATGGTTCCTGAACCTTCCATGTGATTTTGCTATCCCAGGCTACTCTTACTATCTCCAGATTTTGTTGAACTACATCTCGCATCAGCTCCAGACAGCATGGCCAATAGTTATGGATGATGGGACTAGTAGACCCACAATACCTGGAAGGCACTGTATTGGTTATGTCTGTTGTACCAGCAGGTTCCATTCAGGTTCAGGTATTGACTAAGTCTCTTTCATGAATTGGACTTAGCATCATTGTCATCAGTAGTCCTGAAGTTTGCTCTGCTACTTGTGAACTTCACCATAAGCTAGTGCTTGGTTTTCAATCAATATACAGAGTTATGAAGTGGGAAAGGGTGTTATAAACAATGACAGCAGTGCGGGATAATGTTCATTGGAACCTGTTACTCAGTACTCAAGGGTAGTAGTGTTAATTAACCTAGAGAAACTGTAGCCAGCTGAATAAAAATGAAGTTAATTATAGCAATTTTGGCATTCCAATGAAT